TCTTATATTGCTTCCATACTGCAGGTGCTGGACGGAGGAATGGATGGCGGGGCGGATGGGTCTAGGGATGGGTGGGTGGACGGATAGACAGACAGGTGGACAGGTGGATCTGTGGGCTGTTTGAGGTGACCGGGGGGTGACAGCGGGTGTCCAGGGTTGGGCAGACACAGGCTGAGCGATGGTGACATGGGGATGAAGAGAGGGATGGAGAAAGGGATACATGGCGGGAGGGAGGAATGGGTGGGGGGAAGGATGGACAGAGGGACGGAGGGATGGATGGGTGGGTGGGAGAAGGGATGGATGAGAGACTTGATTGCAGAAACAGTGAGGATGGCTGGACAGGGGGAACGTGTGGGTGGGCAGCTGGAGAGAGGCAGTCTGGAGGGACATGGGGGAGGGGAGCACAGATTTTGGGGGGATGGATGGATGGACGGACGGACGGACAGAGAGAGGCAAGGACGGGTGTACAGGAGGGAGAGAAAGAAAGAAGGGATGGAGGGACGGGGCAGGTGGATGATGGGCAGACGGAGCGTGTTTGTGGCAGCGGATGGATGGCTAGAAAGACAAAGCGTGGAGGGATGGAGACAGAGATGGAGGGGTCTGGGGAAGGAAGGTCTTTGGGAAAAGATGGATGGAGGGGTAGCATATACAAGGATGGATGGATGGGCCGTTGGGATGGATAGATGAAGGGGAACAGATGGATGGATGGATAGATGGTTGGATGTCTACAGGGATGAGCTGGGGGGGGATGAGTAAAGGTGGCGAAGGGATGGGTGGTGGTGATGGTGTTCGGGGACGGACGGGTGGTAACAAGGTGCATGGACGGGTGGACCTGTGGAAAGGGTGAGAGCAGAGGCAATGGACAGAGAGATGGATGCAGGGATGGAGACCAAGGGGCGCATGGCTGCGAGTCAAGGGATGGAGAGAGCGAGATGCAGGGGCAGAGTGGGGTGGAAGGAGGGATGGAGATGGGGGGCTGGATGGCCAGACGGAGGCAGGGAGGGATGGTGCAGGGGTCTGCGGGAAAGACTGGAGTCGGGGGGGGTCCGCACGCAGCCGGGACAGACAGACAGGCTGAGAGGATTTGGGGGGAATGGGGGGGTAGACCTGGCCTCGTGCCTGGACTCCTGGGTTCACACTCACCTCCCAGCCGCAGCAGCTCTGCACTGGGGGGTCTGGAGGGAGTCACAATAAGAAGCATCCGGGACCCGTCCCACCACAGCCACATCAGAGGCGCCAACACCAGCCTGCGGGTGAGCCTGGGGGGCTGTGGTTAGAGCGCTGCTTCCTGCTGGGAGGGGGCCCAGACACTTGGGTCCTGCGGGTGGGGGAAGCAGCAGAGCACCCCAATCCCAGACACCTGGGTGCTCCGGGAGGTGGCGGTGGGCGGGCGGACTCATTCATTGGACGGATGGATGGATGAGTGGGCACACGGATGGGTGAAGGGGTGGATGGATGGACGAGCAGGTGGCATGAATAGGAGAGAGCCGTGGGCAGGGGGCCAGGGCCAGGACTGGGGGCTCAGACAGCTCCGCTCGGGGGGCGCAAAGGCCACAGGGAGAGGCAGGTCCTGGGGCCTGGAGCCCATGGGCAGGTCGGACCTGGGGCGTGGGCCGATGCAGGCACTGGTGCCAGCCCAGGCGGTGGAGCCGTGTGCAGGAGCCCTGAGCTGTGGGAGCAGGGCATGGCCTGGAGCGCCTCATTGGCTGCAGCCAAGATGGGATGGCCAATGGCATTGTCTGGGGCTGCCCCATGCCCCGGCCTCAGGTCAGGGCTGGACGGGGAGGGAGGCAGGAGGGGATGGACAGCGCTGGTGCCCCCCACTATGATCCGTGCCCCCCACAGCGGTGCCCCCCACTCCAACCCGCACC